TGCATTGAGCATATCAATGACTAGCTTCATCTCTTCCTTCAGCTCACAATGGCATGACCTCTGGTGCATCCCATAAGATGATTCCAATCTTATTTGTGAGTGGAATTTGGAGAACCTGGATGTTCATTATTCACCCGGGGTGCCTCAAAGCCAAGAGATTGGGTTGGGACTCTTGGTAGTGGAGAGGGGTTGAAGCTGGGTAAAGAGGAAGCTTGTGATATGAGAAGAGCAGTAGCTATTCATTATTTAAGTAGGAAAAGAGTCTAGAAGCAAGTGTGAAGGGATTAAAGAAAGCACAAAGCATAAAGAACAGCAACATGCAAAGTTATCTCAGCAGCTAAAAATCTTTGTTTTATTTATTTATTTTTATTTTTTACATCATTGTTCATTTTAAAACAATAGTTACTTCCCCCAACCCCCCTCAGGTGTAGTCCCCATAGAATTTCCTTCCCCAATGCACCTGTGCACCATCACCTTAGTCCCCTGTGCTCCTCCCTCCCTCCCTCCCTCTGATCCCTCTCCCTCCTCCTCCCCTGCAGCATGTCTCTGATTTATAACTGTCTGTTTTTGTTTTGTTGCGTTTTATACTGTTACTATTTTTTACACTGACGTCTTATTGGGTTTCCCTATATTCCTGCTATAAGTGAAACATCCGATAGTTTTCTTTTTCCTTCTGGCTTATTTCACTGAGCATAATTCGTTCTAGTTCCATCCACATTGCTGCGAATGGCCTGAGTTTATCTTTTTTTGATTGCTGAGTAATATTCCATTGTGTATATACCACATCTTCTTGATCCAGTCATCTGTTTTTGGGCATTTGGGTTGTTTCAAGGATTTAACCTACTCTAAGTAGTGCTGCAATAATAAAAATCTTTGTTTTAGACCATTCTATATATCCAAATAATATTCAGTATTAAAAGTAAGGGCTATCTGTTCATGCAGAGCTTTAGTATTTATTCAATTACTTATTCTACTCATTTAGCACTTCCCACGTAGGGATCAGCATAGTAGTTTCTAAGAAGACTCTGGCATCAGACTGGATTTTATTCCAGGTTCCACTGGTTTCTAAGAATTTTAATCTAGGGCCTCCCTGTACGTGGCGCAATGGTTAAGACACAACCTATGAAGCTATCCACAGCCACTGTAGCACAGAGTTTGATTCCTGGCTAGCCAGGGAACAACCCACATGGTGCAGCAGACCTCTCCTGACTTGCCCGCTGCTCCCTTCAGCAGTGTACTTTGGTCAGTCTGTCTGGTCTGTTCCCTACTCTGTCTCTGGTGAATCCTCTCACCCCCACCCCCTATACCTCTGGCCTATACCTCAGCTCTTGTATGCATAAATAAATAAATCTTAAAAAAAAAGAATTTTAATCTATGGTGACATTAGTTTTCTTATCTCTAAAAGGAGGACAACCAAAGTATCTCTCTTAGAAAGTTATTATTAAGGGAAGACTAAGATATAGATGGAAACTAAGATATAAATACATTATAGATGATGTACATGCACATATACATATGTGATGTATTATCCATTTTATAAATGTTTACCTAAAACAATGCCTTGTATATATTTAAATCAATAATATTCAGTATCATTGTCAAATTTACTGTTGTTTCAAAGTTTCTGGATTGAAGCTTGTCTCAAAGAAATGTTTTCTGTATCTTCAGATTTTTTTAAAGATTTATTTATTTATGCATACAAGAACTGGGGCACAGGGTAGAGGTGGGGTGGGGAGTGAGAGGACTCACCAGAGACAGAGTGGGGAGCAGAACAGGCAGATCCACTGAAACACACTGCCAAGGGGAGCAGTGGGGAAGACAGGAGAGGTCTGCCATACCACGTGGGTTGATCCCTGGCTGGCCTGGGGTTGAAAAGGCTGCGGACCATTCCATAGTGCTGTGCCCAACACCTTACACCACCAGTGAGGCCTTGTAGCTTCAGATTTTGTGAAGAAATAGTCCTTCTTGGTTTATTCAAGTTAGTTTGTATTGCATTTGCAAGCCAATATAGTCTCTATTTTATTTTTTTTTCTAATTAGCATAGTTTGCATGAGTCCCTTTGACACCACTGATCTTACTTAAGGCTTTACATAGAAGACACAAAATTTATTGCATATATGCATGTTCTAAAATTTAAAAAACTCTCAAAACCCACTAGCGCATTAGTTTAACTTGTGCATGATCACACTGTCCTATGTAATTCAACTTCAATATAAACGCTTTTATTTTTTTTAAATTTTTAAAAAAGATCATTTATTTATGTATACAAGAGCTGGGGTACAGGCCAGAGGTGGGGGGGCAGTGAGAGGATTCACCAGAGACAGAGTGGGGAACAGAACAGGCAGATTGACCAAAATGCACTGCTGAGGGGAGAAGTGGGCGAGTCAGGAGAGGTCTGCTGTGCCATGTGGGTAGCTCCCTGGCTGGGGATTGAACTCGTGCTGCAGTGGCTGTGGACAGCTTCATAGGTTGCGTCTCAACACCTTGTGACACCAGGGAGGCCCTCAATATAAGTACAATTGTTAGGGGGAAAAGGATGTCCTAAAGCTAATTCCATACAGGCTTTGTGGACTCCACCCCCACCCCAGGCCTAAGCCAAAGACACTGGGAACTCCAAATTCCATCACCACTAAAGGGAAGGTGGCTGGGACCTGAGGGTGGGGTTAAGCAGCCAAGTGAGTATAAAGACAGACACGTGGGCTTTGGGGGGGGTCCCCCATTTTGGCTCTCCACCAGCTAGCAGAGTCCGGCCTGCTCTGAGAGTAACTTTGGGTTTCCAGGTCAGCGGATCGGGTAGGACGCATTAAAGACTTTATTTCCCTATTTTCTCCCTGAGTTGTACATTTTCCTTATTTCCTTTTCCCTTGTAAATAAACCTTTTATTAACCTTTTGTGTGTGTCTGTAGTGGAGTATTCATAAGTCCCTTGTAAGCGCGCGGGTGAGAACCCACAGCCAGGAACCCGTTCAATATCGGGGCTGTCCTATAACAGCTTTAGTAAAAGAACATATCCCTTTGTAGAGAAACACATGTTGTAACCTTGTGGGTATCACTGGAGGAAACTGCTTAAGGAGACCTGAGCTTAGGGTTAGAAAGCCAGAATTCTTTCAACATAACTAACCCCATAGTCAGCTCAGTCCCCTCACCTCCCTGAACACCATTACCATTCTTCATGCACAAAATGGGAACAGTAATAATTACCTTACAGGATTGTTTTGGGCTCAAAAGAAACTCATTTATGTGAGAGTAAAGAAAGTACAGATGTTGTTTGTCAATTTTTTTCCCAGATACATCAATTTCAATTGGTGACAGATACACACCTGGCAAATCATGAACCTAAATGTGTTTAAAAATTTTCTTTATTATAAATTTTCTTTATTTTTATTTTTGTATATTTTTTAATTTTTTTACATCATTATTCATTTTTAAACAATATTTGCTTTCCCCACCCCCTTAGATGTAGTCCCCAGAGTTTCCTTCACCAGTGCATCCCTGCAACATCACCACAGTCCCCTGTGCTCCTCCCTCCTCCTCCCCTGCAGGATGTCTCTGATTTATAATTGTCCGTTTTTGCTTTGTTGTGTTTTTATTTTTTTACACTGATGTCTTATTGGGTTCCCCTATATTACTGCCATAAGTGAAAACATGCAATATTTTTCTTTTTCCTTATTTCACTGAGCATAATTCCTTCTGGCTCCATCCACGTTGCAGCAAATGGCATGAGTTTATCTTTTTTGATTGCTGAATAATATGCAACAGTACACGAACAGTTTGTTCAATAAACAGTGCTGGGAAAAAAGGACCACCACATGCAAAAAAAAAAAAAAAAAAAAAAATGAAGCTAGACCACTACCTTTCACCGTGCACAAAAATCAACTCAAAATGGATAAAAGAACTGGACATAAGACCTGAAACCATAAAATATATAGAAGAAAATACAGGTAAAACACTACAAGACATACATCGCAATAACATCTTTAAAGACTCATCACCCAAAGCAAAGAAAGCCAAGGAAATTTCTTTTCCTAATGAAGTGCACAACCGGATGGAGTGTGACCTTTGGGGCAATACCCAGAGTACCGATCTGCAAAAGGAACGGATCCAAATGCCACGTTATCTCCTGGATTCCCTTCAGTGTGGCCATCCCCGGGCCCCAGAGCACAGAAGCGAAGCTGCAGGCAAGTCAAGTTGCCCGCAGGCCCCTCGGTCAGCCCGCCGCCCGGCACCTGGGAGCCAGCCCGCCTCGGGGTGTTTCAGGTGGGCGGGGCTGGAAGCACCTGCTCCCGGGCTCCGCTCGAAGCCGGTGCCAACCTTCTCGTTTAAGGGGGTGGCTCTGCAGTGGCCCAGCCTGTCCCTCGAGCGTGCTTTCTGAGATCCGGTTTCAACTCCCTGGTGGGTCGTTCTCAGGTCCCGTTACAGTTCCCCAGAGCTCCGTGTGCGCGCGGGAGGGACGGGGCCAGGGAGCCCCCGAGTGGAGGCCCCGAGCTCCCGGGCTCCAGTTACCGCCCCGCCGAGCCCCCGCCGCAGCCGCCGGGCGCGGGCGGGACCGGGGAGCGCCGCGGCCCCTTTAAGAGCCGGGCCCAGGCCCGCCCGGGGGCCGCGGGAGCCCAGAGCGCCGCGCGCCGCCCCGGAGTTGGAATCCGGCGCAAAAGTTTCCTCCCAACTTCGGCCCCGCGCGCAGCCGCCGCCGCCCTCTCCAGCCCGGGCCTGGGGCCGGCCCCGCAGCCGCCGCCGCCAGGGCCAGGGCTGGGCCGGGCCGGGCCGGCAGTTTCGCTTTGAGGCGCGCGGAGCAGCCGCGGCGGCCCGGCCTCCACGGGCGCAGCAGGGAAGCCCGGCCCGGGGCGCCGCCACCCGCCGCCCGCCACCGCCACCCCGGAGGGAGCCTTTCCAGCGGCCGCCCCTTCCCGATTGCAGCCCATCTCCCCGCGCTCGCCCGTCCGGGGCGCGGGGGCGCCACTGCCAGCCCCCAGATCAGAGGGGGCCCGGGGAGAGGCTCCAGGTCTCCCCGCCCGCCTGCGCCCGGCGTCCCCCGAGAGTGGGGGCTGCGCCCACGGGGCCAGACACCTGTTCAGCCCGGCCCGGCTGGTCGCCGGCGACCAGGATGAAAGTGACCGTGTGCTTCGGCAGAACCAGCATCGTGGTGCCCTGCAAGGAGGGCCAGCTGCACGTCCGCGAGCTCACGCAGCAGGCGCTGCAGCGGTACCTGAAGACGCGGGAGAAGGTGAGCCCCGCGGTGGGGGCGCGCGGGCGGGGCTGCAGAAGGGGGGCGCGGCTGCGGGGCGGGCTGTGGGCACGCGCATCGAGGCCAAGGCACCTGCTGGGTGTAGGGAGGGCGAGTGGCCACTAGCAGGGGGGCGCAGAGAAACCTGGACGGCTGTATTCGTCTCTACCTGTGGCCTCGTCTTGTGTGTTGCTGAAATTAGCGACCTGGTGTCTTTGGGCGTATGTGGGCCTTGCTTCTCAGAGGGTGGTGGGAGGAACCACTGACTGCATAGGAACCACTTGGGGACTCGTTAGAAATGCACGATCTGTTGTCCCGATTCAAACCCACTGCCTTAGAATCTGCGTCCTAACAAGCTCCCAGGTGACTGGCTTGACACTGAAGTTTGAGAAGCACTGCCTTGAGAGTCCTCTGAGAATGGGGGAATGCTTCTGCTGTAGCCCTGGAAGGTGCTGCCCACCTCAGGTGTGAATTTTGACCCGCTAAGGGCAGCCCTACTTGAGCTCCTTGGAAATAGAAAGTTAATTGGTGCAAGCAAGTCACAGATACTCGGAAGTTGTAAATGCTGGGGCCCTTGGAATTTCAACCAGGTGAATTGTCTTCTGTCTGTGACTTGCAGGGAAATCAGGTAGAAGGATGCCATTTGCTTTACACCAGTCAGTCTACATTTCTGGTGTTTTAGTTTGATGCCACACATTCTATGAACATTTACTATGTCTGTGGGCTGTATCCAGGCCTTGGTGACCATGAAAACTATCCCCAGTTGTGTCCCTTACATCAAAAACAAGTAAAAATGAAGTTCAGGAGGAATGTTTTTAAGTGTGCAATGTACTTAAGACCTAGCTGGACTCCTAAGTATCAGGTGTGTGACTTATATGCTGAGTTTGTGTCTTCTTCAATGGAACCTTTAAATGAAGGCATTGAAATGCATCTTATTTCTAAATGTTCAAGTGGAACATCTTCTAATTCCTACAACCTCCTGAAACAGGACAAGTTGTAGAGGCCTCTAGTTATAGTGTCCACCTCAGGTGTGCTGTTAATACCTGTTCTCATTCTGTGAGAAATATAGAAGTAGTATGTTGGCCATTTTGGTGACGTGCATATGTAATCCTCCCAAATTGAACTCAGAGGTAGAGTTCAACTGAGGTAGAGGGGGGAAAGTAAAGTGACCTCTAAAACTGAATATCCACCCCAATGTTTTTTCCATTGTTACAATAGTGTATGCACTTTGTTGTGTAATTCAGTTAAAAACAGAAATTAACACAAGTAACCAGCTGTATTTGAAGTCACATTTCACTAATTTATGTAGGTAAATGAAGGTAGATAGTAACAGTATTTTTCTAGACATATTATAAAAGTGGATCCTACTGAAGAATTGTATTAAGGGGCTTCCCTGGTGCCCCTGGGGTTAAGTCTTAGCACTATCACCATCACAGCCTGAGTTCCATTCCCGCCAGGGAGCACCCGCATATGGTGCAACAGACCTTTCCTGCCTGCCCACTCCTTCCTTTAGTAGTGTATTTCAGTAAATCTGTGGCCTGTTCTGCTCCCCACTCTGTCTATGGTGAATCCTCCCCTCACCACCAATGGCCTACACCCTAGTTCTATGTAAAAAAAAAATTGTACTAAGATGATATTTTTAATTCATTAGGAAAAATAATTGGTACCCTAAAATCTTGGATATTTAGAATTTGGTACTTGGAGCAGTCCAAGAAATGGAAGTCAGCTATAAGCTTGTAAATAACACAGGAAATGTTATTTAGATATTATTTAATGCATCATAATTTGATCTTAAAAGGTGTTAAAATGCTATTGATATTCTGGAATGAAAGCATAATTTATAATATCACAGAACCCATAATATAATTGTATTGATCAGTTTACTATTATTGCCAGACATTACATTTTTCTGTGTTTACATTTATATATTAGTGAATGTGACATTTAAAGGTCAACTGCAACTTATAAATCCTCCCTCCCTTCTTTGGCTTTTAAAATCTCAATTTAATAAGTGGCAAGTGGTATTTTTCACTTCCCCAAATATTCCTCTTCCATACTTTGATTTTAAATAATATTGTAATCATAATAAGGCTTAACTAATATTAAATGGTATTCCTAATGGAACTAAAATGTCAAGAAATACTGACAAATTCCATACTTTCATCCATTGAATTTAGAAAATAATGAGAAAATATCAGAAATGTCAAAATTCAATTTGTAAAACAATTTGCATAAATTTCATTTTCTATCTGAAATAAGTTTAAAAGGCTGTTTTCCCTCGACAGCAAGGTTTTAAGCTCTGCGTATTATCATCCTCATAATCATAATGACAACATAACAACAACTAACATTAATTGTGCAGACACATTTGGGAGCTTTACATGTATTGCCCCCATAGGTAAATTATATTATCCCCATTTTATGGATGTGGGGGAAAAGACACCGAGATATGACTGATAAGGTGTGGAATTAGGATTTTTAATGTAGAAACTATGTCTCTAGGTCCTTGTTTTTATCAGTAGGTTATTAATGTATGGAAATTTACCGATCTAATTCATTTTTTATAGTTTGCTTTATAAGACAATTTTCTCTACAAACTGCTACAGTAACTGTAAGGGGCAGGAACTGGACACAGTGCAGGTTTTCTGATCCATGCAGATCGGGTAAAGGAGGAGTCAGAGTCCTCAGTAGTTTTGCAGGTTTTTTATTTGGGGTTCACCAGGCATATGGCAGGCAGGGGTGCTGGCTGGGGGGCTGGGAGGCTGGCAAGCCTCCCAGCCCCCAGCAAGTCCTCACTCTATCTGGGCTCTCTAGCGTTCGTTCTGCTGCTTCTCGGCTTCGGCTGCGGCTGCTGCTGCTGCTGGTGCTGCTGCTGCTCCCGTCCCCCCGTGATGCCGCCCTTAAAAGCACAGTCTTAGCTCAGCTGAATCCCATCTACCTATGCCCACACCCTATTCCAGGTGCCCGCCATCAGGCATGCATTCAGGACAAGGATCCATCATCTATCCTGATGGCGGAAGGGCAGAAAAGCCTGATATTTTCTTTACCCTACAGTCCACCCCCTCAGGGTTTTCTGCCATACAGTCTATACATACATATACAATTTTCTAAGCAAACAAACAATGCAGCCATGGCCCACAAAAGCAAATACATCAAATAACAAAATACAACATAACAAAATACAACAGAACACAAATAAGTCCAGGCAGGGCACCAACCAAGTGCAAAAGACAATTATTGGTACCAGCAGATGAGCCACCAAATCTGCTGCCGAAGGCACTGCTCATGCGAGGGAGGGGAAATCACACACGGCATCTGCTATAACACACCAGGAGCCGTCAGGCTTCCTGGCCTTCTCTGGCTGTAGTCTCGGCTACAAGGCATACACAGCATCCACCCCCAGGATGCACTAGCTCTGGGATTGGCAATTTTATTCTGTTGGGGGTAATCGCCAACCCTCAGGGTTTCTGTCTGCAGTCGCTCCAACACTCGGCCTTCATGGCCACCCATGCGACTCACAGACCCCTGCTCTCAAGCCAACCCACTGCACAAGCACATGGGTTGGGGATCCAAACTTTGCATTTGGCTTGGGCTCCACCCCAAGCCACATTCCCCACCCGTCCCCAAGGACGGGCTCCTCAGCTCCTCACCCTCACTCAAGAATGAGCAGGGCATCACCCATAGGTGATTTTACGAGACTCACAGGGCTTCAGCATACCCAGGCTGCTTAACAGCCGCTTTAGGGCTTCTCAACTTAGCATCAGTACCAGCTTTTGCCACCTTAGTTGGCTTTTCTCCTCCACCTGGCCACTGGGCATACACAGGCTGCTTTTGGCCATCTAGGCCCACTGGCCACCCCCAGATTCTCAAAAAATAAACATAACCTGCTAAGGTCCTCCGCCTTCTGGCGGGATTGTCAGTCCAAAATCATCAGTTCATCAGTCTATCAGTCCATTGGCCTCTCCCTGCTTCAGCAATGGCCTGCTGCCTCAGGGGTCATTGGCTGGTCCTTTCCGGTGTCGTTGGCTGGTCCTATCCGGTGTCATTGGCTGGTCCTTTCGGGCGTCTCCTTCACGCCAGGTCTCATCCTGTAGCTCGTGGACGTATCCATCTTCTATACCGCCATGGTGCCTCCAGCGTCGTCACAGGCAAAGTCTGTTCTCCTTAGTCCCTCCAGGTCTTCGGAGGGCTCCAATACCCGTCTGCATGGATCCTGCCGACTACGCCAATTGTAAGGGGCAGGAACTGGACACAGTGCAGGTTTTCTGATCCCATGCAGATCGGGTAAAGGAGGAGTCAGAGTCCTCAGTAGTTTTGCAGGTTTTTTATTTGGGGTTCACCAGGCATATGGCAGGCAGGGGTGCTGGCTGGGGGGCTGGGAGGCTGGCAAGCCTCCCAGCCCCCAGCAAGTCCTCACTCTATCTGGGCTCTCTAGCGTTCGTTCTGCTGCTTCTCGGCTTCGGCTGCGGCTGCTGCTGCTGCTGGTGCTGCTGCTGCTCCCGTCCCCCGTGATGCCGCCCTTAAAAGCACAGTCTTAGCTCAGCTGAATCCCATCTACCTATGCCCACACCCTATTCCAGGTGCCCGCCATCAGGCATGCATTCAGGACAAGGATCCATCATCTATCCTGATGGCGGAAGGGCAGAAAAGCCTGATATTTTCTTTACCCTACAGTAACATATCAACTTAACCTTAGCAATTGTTTTTACAGACATGGGTCATCCACCAGTTCCTCTTGATTATATCTTTTATAGCACAGGACTATACATTATAGGGAGAAGTCTAATTTCTGAGGCAAATCTTTCAGGATTTGCAAATCAAGTATGAAATATATTCCTCAGTCTAATTATAAACAGAAAAAATGGTCAAGATTTCATAGACATCAAGGTAGAGAAACACATTTAGTGGGAACATGAGTGTAAATTAAACTTGTTTCTCCTGGGGCCTTGAATAATTTAGGTGGGAGAAAGGCCAATTTCAAGACTGAGGATATAGAGTGG